CATTAAGCTAAAGTTATTGTTTGCCTTTAGTGTCCTTTTAAACTCTCGTTTGTCCATTAATATACACTATATGGCCAAAAGTATGTGAAAACCTGACCATAACACCTATATGAGCTTACTGGGCATTCCACTCTAAACCATGGGCATTAATATGGAGTTGACACCTCACCACCCTTGCGTGAAGGCATTCCACAAGATTTTGGCTTGTATTTGAAGGTAAGTTCTGCACATTCAGCCATGTGAAGTCAGAATTCAGATTGTCTAGTATATAAACTACAAAGTAGTCATTTATGAACCAAATTTAAAGGCAAAAAAGGTTTTGTTGTTTTTATATATTTAAGTGCATTAATAGGAATAGAAATCTAATAAAAATTAAAAAAAAAAATTCTACCAATGAAACACACGACGACAGAATTTGCTTTTGATTTTGCAATTTGCCAAGTCTTTCTGACAAGGCTGTAAGCGTTTTGAAATAAAATGTTAGCTTATTGGAATCAGACCCATAATAAAAAAAAAATATTATATATATATATATATATAATTTTTTTATTATTATGTATTTATTTATTTTGGATTGCAATTTCTTTTTTTTTAAATTGTATTTTGAATCTACCATGCTGTTTTCTTCATATTTAGATACAAACTTTCAGCACTCCACTTTTTATAAAGAAATGATCAATGTGTCTGTTGGAAGCACTGCATTCTTGCCTTGCACACTGAAAAGCCACAATGATTCTACTGTCAACTATAAAATTCTCTGTCAGAGGAAAGGCAACAAAATGGAGAATCTCATGGTATATTTCCAGGACGGCCATAAAGAGTTAATGACGGTGATGGTTATGAACGACGGTTTTGTGAATTGGACAAATATGTACTGGATGCAGTTCAACAATGCTACACTACAATCAATAAATGTCAGTGTAAATGATTCGGGAGAGTACACTTGCTGGGTAACAGGAATGACAGACGACTCACAATCCATACACGAGCAATGTCAAATAACTCTGAATGTGCAGCCAGAGAGAATAGGTGAGAGAAATTATTATAAAATATTGTTATTATATATCACAACATTCAAAACAAAGCTCTCCATGACTGGTAAACAAGTACACAAAAAATAATATTTCAATAAGTTAGGACTCTTTAGACAACTTATTTTTTTAATAATAAAAAAATATTGATTTGATAAAATAAAATGTTAAAATGCAAAAAACTTTCCTGTTTTAAAATGTATTACAAAATATACAATTAAGTAATATTTCTTTATTCCAAATCAAACAGGCAGCCAGCAGAAGCTGTTGTTGTGTTGGTCAATCTACCTACTAAGCCTCACTATAGTCCTGTGTTTCCTGAACAGATGCATGCACCAGAAAACAATGCAATCAAAAAACCGCCAGTCAATTGTATGAAAGACTAGACTATCAGCCACTGTTTTATTAAAAATGCATTCAGAAATGAAGGTTTTGGCAACTGTCTCACAAAAGCTTTCTTATAATATGTTTTGCATATATTACTTGTATGCAGTGTTTGAATATTTTAAGAGTTTTACTTTGCCATTTGTCATAATGTCCTATAACTGTCCAAAACCAATATACTAGGACGTGCTCTAATTAAATCCTTAGATCAGAGGGTTTTTAAGCCTTGGTGTCCAGAGCACTAGTTGGACTAGGCACACTTTTAGCATATAATAAGATAACCAAAAATAATTTAGAATTAGTATAACAATGTACACTTAACTTGCTAAGGACATTAGTATAGACGGGGGCAGCTACCCCATTAAGGCTCCTACTGAATAGCCTTTTCTTTAACCAATATGCAAAAAATATATACAAATGGGCTTTTCCAAAATAGTGTCCTAAATAAGCACATAGTGAAGTACTGTTACATTGTATATAGTGCCATAGTTATAGATTATTATTATGATATTTATAGAGCGCGGTCAAATTCCGCAGCGCTTTACAATGGGTGGACGAACAGACATGTAGTTGTAACCAGACAAGTTGGACACACAGGAACAGAGGGGTTGAGGGCCCTGCTCAATGAGCTTACATGCTAGAGGGAGTGGGGTAAAATGACACAAAAAGGTAAGGATAGTATTAGACTAATGACAGTTGCAGAAGATTACACTAACAATATTTAAAAAAGGAAATGCCTTCAAACCACTCAGGGTTTTCTGTTCGAATTCTCACTAGAACAGTCAAGAAAGAACAGTGCAGGTAAAAGTATCGTTTCCAATGTTATATAAATAGCAACAAAAAGGTCCTACGTGTTTCATCCAGTTGCCGAACTTTGTCAGGTTCCTCATATTTCAAACACACAAAAAAAAAATATTGCAAACAAACGTGACCAGATACACAAATGTGTCTAGATATATTTATTTGCAATAATTTGTTTATGATATTTATTTCATGTATTTATTTTTAATGCAGCCCCTGAAGAAGTCCAAGGCAACTGGACGTGATTTGAAAGCATTTGATTTCCAAAATCTTGTAATCTATACTTATGGTACAATGTAACAGTAATAATAATAATACTATGTAACAGTACTTCACTATGGTGTGCATTAATATGCCTAGCTAGAAAAAGGATGAAACCCTATTTGTATATATTTTTTGCACATTTTTAGTTTAGTAAGGATGTTATTAATTTATTGTAGTGACTTTGTCTTCCACGTGAAAAGGGGATACCTGAAAAGGAACACTCTGTTGATTTTTTTTTTTAACAATTTAGTAAATATACCCAACATACATGTATTTTGTTCTGCATGTTTTCTTTAAGGGTATATGAAAAAACAGGTTGTAAAAGATGCAGACCTGCTGTTTAAAGCCTTCACAAGCCCTCCTGCTACCCTGACCTATTATGTCAGCACTTTCATAAACGGTCACAAACATGACAAACACCAGAGATAAAGTCTTCAGTGCCAATATCATTATCTCCAAATCTGTTAAACACTTACAAGATTATTCACTAAAGTGAATTTCAAATGTAGGGTCACAATAGCAAAACTGGAAAAAGTTTGGCTGCTCTGTCCTTAAATTTCCCATCTTCACTTGATGAATAACCGTATTAATCCATGTTTCCAAGCAGATGAACATGCCAAATACATCATAATGAGATGAACACAACTTTCACAGCACAGTGTATATGATTATTTAGGATTAAATAAACTCAGGTCATGCGGCTGCTGCTTTAAAGTGAACTTTAAAGGGTTACTCCAAGCACCAAGACCAGATCAGTGATTTGCTTTGAAATGCTGAATATACAGATATTAACCCCACCTACAGCATTGTCATTATCCAGCCCAGAACATAGATCTGGGCTGGCTAATATCACTCCTGTGCAAAAGTGGTGTCTGTCACCGGCACATACAGTATGCTGGCCCTAAACAGCCAATGGTAGCATGGTTGCCCCCCTTTGTGCCAATTCTGTACTTCCTTAGTTGAAATTAGCCAAGGTTAGATGGGGCTGAGGGAAGAACTTTGACTAGGTGATAGATTAGAGGTACGTTTTAGTTCATTTTAATTTTTTTTAAGTTTTGGGGGAGGGGACCACCTCAGAAAATCTTGTTATAGAAAACCGGTGATTTATGGAAATACTGTTATTTTGGTTGGATTAAACCTTTAGGTGACAGAATCTCCTATTCTAATGGAATACTCCAGCATTATAAATAGATTTGAGTGTTCTGTAGTTATTTAGTTATTACTCACACATAATCCAGTGGCACAGCAGTCTCCTTGGAGTATTAGGATTCATGGAGCACACACAGCAATCACCTTAATTCACTGGCACTGCTTCTCATACAGCATTGAAACCTCATATCTGCTTTGAGCATATACACAAATGTGTTGAAGAGTAATTAGACAGATGGGAGGGTGTCAGCTCAGCTGAGCACATTATGGGAGAAAGCTTTCGACTGCATAGGAGACTGTTAGTGGCACACTCCAGATAAGTTTTCAAACCATTTGCAAATGGTTTGACTACTTACCCCTGGAAGGTGCCAAGGAACCCTAACCACTGCTAGAAATATTCCTTTAAAAATTCAGGTGTGTGTCAACAGGTATCCTTTGTTCTAGACTGATGGAGACAAGATTTCACCACCAGTTCCCATTTTGTGCCACCATGGAGTCCTGGAATAAACAAATTGCCAAACAGAAACTACATATTGCTGGACAATAATTGACATAAATTGATCTGCAGCTTGTGCAATTTATGTACACTTAGATAAATTGCCTGTAACTGTAATCCTAGCCACAGTTTTTACTAGGAATCAGCTTGTATGCTTAGGGTAAGGGACAAAATACTGGCTTCATTTTACACTTACAAGGATAAATAAACAAAATTAAGTTTTCATTTGCCCTAATATAAATAAATGCTGAGACTACTCATTTATATCTGTTTTATTCTGTACTACTAATCAAAAATATCTACTTTGTTTGACTAACAGAGTACTGATGATGTGACATATATAAATGAAGTTGTAAATAAATTCTGTATTTAAAATTGGAATGCCTCTTTATCAGCATTTCTGGTAAATCAATTAAAATTTAACACACTAAGTATCACAGATAGGCGGTTTATCCCCAACCAGTAGAGTGCTGGACACACCTTTGAAGAGGAATTAAAATACAATATATGTCTGTCAAGCAAGCGTGGACACAGGGATTACACAAATAGACAAGCCATCAATTACCCATAATGCATCAGAGACACACACCCCACTGCAAAAAAAAAAGGAAGCAAATGAATGGCAACAAATACATCTGTTCTATGTCAACGTTCTACAAAAGTATCAGAAGCTGGCCCTAGATATTCACAACAGCAGCAATACCGACAATGGTATACTGCATGCAACATTCTATAACAGTAATCTGTATGCACTGCTCACCTTCCTGTCACCTCAGCAGCTCCCAGAACCACCCCCTTCCTTGTTTTGTCAACTGCATTTGAGCAATAAAGTTCATTCAATTTTTTTTTTTCCATTTAACTTTATTAGTCAACCTCAAAACAAACATCAAGCGCTTTCCAGTCTCCTCCAGCAGAGAGCCGCGAGCTCGGTACTTGATAGTCGGTTACAATGTCGGCTCACTCAAAGGCTGAGCTGGGGGAGTCTTTCAGCGCCCGGGGCAGATCCTTTGGCAGCTGTTGATGCTCTGCCTGCTGTCTGTTATCTGCTATGGCTTTACTTGCTGCTGTGCTCCTCCTACTTTTTGCTAATGTTATAGGAAAAGTGACACAGCCGCTTTAAAGGGACAGTATAGGAACCTCATTGAAGTGGTCTTGGTGCGTATTTCATTGTCCCTTAAAGGGATTCCCTAGTGCTAGGAAATGATTAGTTTTCCTGGCACTGCAGAACCCTGTAGTGCCCCTCTCCCTCCCACCCCCCATCCCAAGTTGCTGAAGGGGTTAAAACCACTTCAGTGACTTACCGGAGTCCAGTGCCGATGTCCCTCAGGGCTGGGACAGCCTCCGCCTACTCTCCTCCCCCGCCGATGGCAGCTGGTGGGGAAGACCGTATGCGCGGCGATAGCCGCACATGCGCATTATACCTCCCGTTAGGAAAGCATTATTCAGTGTTTTTCAAAGGGGGTTTCGGTGACGCTGGAGGTCCTCACATAGCGTGAGGATGTCCAGCATCGTATAACACACTTTTCGTGTTCTAAGAACACAGAAGCCCCTCTAGTGGCTGTCTGATAGACAGCTGCTAGAAGAGGACTTAACCCTGCATGGTAATTATTGCAGTTTCTGAAAACTGCAATAATTATACTTGCAGGGTTAAGGGTCGTGGTAGTTGGCACCCAGACCACTCCAATGGGCACAAGTGGTCTGGGTGCCTGGGGTACCTTGCCATAGTAATAATTGCAGTTTTTAGTAAGCTACAATAATTACTATCCAGGGTTAACCACCTCTAGTGGCAGTCTAACAGACAGCCACTAGAGGGACTTCGAGTTCGTTAAGTGAATTTTTGTCATCCAGCGCAATTTTTGTCACCCTTTAGGCGCCCTGTGCAAAAACATTTCACAGCGTCCCTCCCTGGTCATACGTTTTTTTTTCATGTATAGTGTGTGTAAAGGGGTGTAATATTTGTATAGGATTATTATTCCGTTGTGTTTTACAATCTTATCAAAGGGGGAGATTTAACAATAAATGAGACAATTACTAAAACTTTCAGGAACAATAGGTTGAAGAGGGCTTACATCCGGTTACAGACAGTCACATACACACACACTCTCTCTCTCTTTCTCTCTCACCTTCTTTCATTATGTGCTGGCTGGTGTTTAGGTGTTTAGGTGTCTGGGGAGCAGGGACACCTTCCTGCATCCCCCACAGTGTTCACAAGTTCCTGCTGCATGTAGGTCCAGCCGCTCATTTAGCCCTACTCGTGAAGCTCCACCCTCTGCCTTATCCGATACACCTAGTTGGAGGATAATTAAATCCTCCTCCAGGTTCAGTGCTGCCTGCACTCCTGCATTATAGGAGAGCTCTGTGCATGTCTTGCACAGGAAGTGTGAGCTGTGTCGGCCACATGGCACCCCTTGCGTCCACGGCGCCCTGTGCAACCATACAGCTTGCACACCTCTAGGGCCGGCCCTGATCCAGCGTCACCCAAACAGCATATCAAAGCAATGTATAATGCTTTCCTATGGGGAAAGTCGTACTGCAAGTGCACATTATGCCTCCCTTGTCGACTGGCGTGGGAGGAGCGGAGGCATAATGTTCATGCCATTTTGAAGAAAGACAAACCCTCTGGCTGTGAGTGATGAGTGAGCAAAGTTGGATTTATGAGATGTAGGATAGCTATAATATTTATTATGCTGCCTGAATTACCACATGGTATCTAACTACCTTCAACACTACCTTTCCCTCAAAAAATTGATTACAACTATTGGATACCTTGCACTTCACCTTTTTCTGTATAATCTAAAAGCCATTTCATTTGTTTATACTGGCAAATTGTGTTATTCAAACAAAGTTTTTTTTGTTTTTTTTTAAGCAATTTCCTGTTCCTGATATGTATATGCAATTATTAGCACTTTTTGTACTGTACAATATGTCACATGTAATATGCATCATGTAAACATGTAATTGATTCTTAAATTTCATTCTGGGAAAATATTCACAAATTGAATAAAGATATATGAAAATATTAACACAAGAGAAGAGTTTTGCCTGTTTAAGACCTTTCCTGATAGTTTAAACAAAGCTTATATGTTATGATAGGCCACATCTTAATTGCAGCCACAATGACCATTACAAGTTACTGGAAATCGAGATATTACAGCAATTAAAGAGGTGCAATACTTGGTTTTGAATTACAAGCGCCTTGAGCTGACCTATGCAGCCGTCCAACATAGTTGAATTATTGAAATCTTATTGGACTGCTTGGGAGGATAAAATTGGAGTTTGCTTGGACCAGTTTACCTTTGTTAGTTTACCATATGGAACACTATAGTCACCTAAATTACTTTAGCTAAATAAATCACTTTTAGTGTATAGATCATTCCCCTGCAATTTCACTGCTCAATTCACTGTCATTTAGGAGTTAAATCACTTTGTTTCTGCTTATGCAGCCCTAGCCACACCTCCCCTGGCTATGATTGACAGAGCCTGCATGGAAAAAAAACTGGTTTCACTTTCAAACAGATGTAATTTACCTTAAATAATTGTATCTCAATCTCTAAATTGAACTTTAATCACATACAGGAGACTCTTGCAGGGTCTAGCAAGCTATTAACATAGCAGGGGATAAGAAAATCTTAATTAAACAGAACTTGCAATTAAGAAAGCCTAAATAGGACTCTCTTTACAGGAAGTGTTTATGGAAGGCTGTGCAAGTCACATGCAGGGAGGTGTGACTAGGGTTCATAAAGGAAGGGATTTAACTCCTAAATGGCAGAGGATTGAGCAGCGAGGTTGCAGGGGCATGTTCTATACACCCAAACTGCTTCATTAAGCTAAAGTTGTTCAGGTGACTATAGTGTCCCTTTAATATGCAAATACGTTTTATAATAAATATTTCATATTATCAGCACTCATATGTATTTTATTATGATATATCTTATTTGTGATGGATTATTGTTTATGATAATATCATTGTTAAAAATTGTATATTAAATTTTCTGGCATGACAGGAGGCTTCATATTTTCTTTACTTTCTTTACTGTAACTCCCAGCAGCAAAAAAACAGTTAAAGGACCACTATAGTGCTAGGAAAACATACTCGTTTTCCTGGCACTATAGTGCCCTGAGGGTGCCCCCACCCTCAGGGTCCCCCTCCCGCCCGGCTCTGGAAAGGGGAAAGGGGTTTAAACTTACCTTTTTCCAGCGCTGGGCAGAGAGCTCTCCTCCTCCGATCCTCCTCCGTTCCGCCCCGTCGGCTGAATGCGCACGCGCTGCAAGAGCTGCGCGCGCATTCAGCCGGTCGCATAGGAAAGCATTTACAATGCTTTCCTATGGACGCTGGCGTGCTCTCACTGTGAAAATCACAGTGAGAAGCACGCAAGCGCCTCTAGTGGCTGTCAATGAGACAGCCACTAGAGGATTAGGGGGGAAGGCTTAACCCATTCATAATTATAGCAGTTTCTCTGAAACTGCTATAATTATGAAAAAATGGGTTAACCCTAGCTGGACCTGGCACCCAGACCACTTCATTAAGCTGAAGTGGTCTGGGTGCCTAGAGTGGTCCTTTAACAGTAAGTAAAAAATGTAACCAATCAGAGTGTGTAATAGACCAGTCATCAGGCTCCTCCCAACTCCTCTTTCTTTGCTGCTTCTTCTCCCAGGTGAGTCTACTCCAATTACAGTCTGTAATCAATTTACATATATATATTTACATGGCTTAATTTATTTTACTTCTACTTCACTTACATATCTATAATGTTTTTGTAGTCATATTACTTCATTATCTAGCCTAACAGGACGTTTCCCCTTTAATATCAAACAAACCTTTTAGGTTTACAGTTTCCTTAAAGGACCACTATAGTGCCTGGAAAACATACTCATTTTCCTGGCACTATAGGGTCTCTAGGTCCCCCCACCCTTAGGGTCCCCCTCCTGCTGGGCTCTAGGGTGAGGAAGGGGTAAAACACTTACCTTTTCTCTACCGCCGGGCTCCCTCGGCGGTGGGACTCTCCGCCTCCTTTCCCCGTCATCGGCTGAATGCTCATGCGCAGCATGAGCCGCGCGCACATTCAGCCAGTCCATAGGAAAGCATTCTCAATGCTTTCCTATGGACGCTGGCGTCTTCTCACTGTGAAAATCACAGAGAGAAGCGCTTCTAGCGGCTGTCAATGAGACAGCCACAAGAGGCTGGATTAACCCTAAAGTAAACATAGCAGTTTCTCTGAAACTGCTATGTTTACAGCAGAAAGGGTTAATTCTAGATGGACCTGACACCCAGACCACTTCATTAAGCTGAAGTGGTCTGGGTGCCTATAGTGTTCCTTTAACTACAAACCGCCTTCTGCAACCCCTTCCTCGTCACCTTCCTATATAAGACGGGAAAAGATCCCCGTAAGAGTTTGGAAAAAGGCCTGAAGGCAACTCAGGATAAAATGATGGAAATGGCGGGACCGCTTATCCAAATATTCAGTATTGCAGATAAGGCTTTGGCAGGTGGCACTCTAGATGCGCACATGGTGTGAGAATGGGCACAAAGGGCACTATGTCTACTTGGCAACGTCAATGTAGCCATGTCAACCGAAAGGTAAAAAGCCGTCCTATAAAATATTGACTCAAAGCTTGCCGAATTAGGCACTAAAGAGCTTGGCCCTGAGGCACAAGGCATGCTTTTTGGAGACAAATTTATTAAGGAATTAAGTAAACACTTCGCTGTGTTTACAACACTTACCAAAGTGCAATCTTCCTTAGGCAAGGAATTTAGGACCCAGCATTTCTCTGGGAGAGCCAGCCACTACAGAGGCCAGTCGGGTGGCAGAGCAGCCTTTACAGGCTACAGGCCTCAACCTTCAGAGCACTGGAACTCGGGCAATACCCGTTTCCACCACAAGCACTTCTTCCCCTCTCGTGGCTCTATAAGAGGACGTGGATCTGCTTCCCTACGCGGTTGCACTCCTACAGGTAATGGACTCTCATTTTTCTCATGTACCTATAGCTGGCAGGTTAATCAATTTTTCCCAACAGTGGTCTTGACTCACACAGGACCCGTGGATCCTTCAGACCATGTCCAGCTTCCACCTAGAATTTACAGAGGACCCAGTTCAAATGTCCTTGCCTACCCCCCTTAGGATGTCTCAAATAGATGACATATCCCTTCAAGTCGAACTCAAGGACCTAGTCATCAAGGGTGCCATCGAACAGTTTCATGAGCAGCATGTTTCTAGTCAAGAAAAAGTCGGGAGAATTTCGACCTGTCATCAATCTAAGAGAACTGAACAAATTCATCAAATACAGACACTTCAAGATGGAAGGCATCCATCTTTTACGGGACCTCCTCTGCGAGGGAGATTGGTTCTCCCGCTTCGACCTCAAAGATGCATACCTCACAGAACCAATCACGCCAGAACACCAAACCTTCCTCCAACTTAACTGGCGCAAAACACTATGGCAGTTCACCTGTCTCCCCTTTGGACTGTGCTCCGCACCTTGGTGTTTCACCAAACTAATGAAACCGGTGATGGCACTACTCCTCTCACAAGGGATTCGGTCCATCATATACTTGGACGATATCCTCCTTATGGCTCAAGACAAGGAGACCAGGGCTGGACTGGGAAGATAATTCGGCCCGGGCATTTTTTAATTACAGCGGCCCACTACAAAGGGGGCGGGGCCAGATAGGGTGTGTTTTGTCATCACCAATGACAAGCACGCCCCATCACAAAGTGAGCATGTTGGTTCAATGCTCTTCCAGGGTAGACCATGCGCAAAGCTCTGCTGAAGAGCTCTGGCATGAGAAAAAGACCCTGTATTTGTTCTGCACAGCGCAAGCAAATTCAATAACATACTTGCACTGTGTTTGCTTGAAATTTGTCTCTGGTGTCTCCATAGGTGGGATACCAGGAGACAAAAATGCTAGGAAAGCATTTGTGCAGTGTGTGTGAGGGTGCTGTGTGTGTGTGTAAGGGGTGTAGTGTGTGTGCGAGAGGGGTGCAGTGTGTTTGAGGTGTGTAGTATGTGAGTGATGGGTGCTGTGTTTGCGTGAGGGTGCTATGTGGGTAAGGGTGCTGTGTGTGTGCTGTGTGTGATTGGGTGCTGTGTTTGCGTGAGGGTGCTATGTGTGTGTGAGGAAGCTGGTGCAGTGTGTGTGTGTGGGTACTGTAAGTGTTAGGGGTGCAGTATGTGTGTGCTGTGCGTGTCAGAGTTGCAGTGAGTGTGTGCTGTGCATGTCAGGGGTGCAGTGTGTGTGTGTGTGCTGTAAGTGTTAGGGGTGCAGTGTGTGTGTGTGAGGGTGCTGTAAGTGTTAGGTGTGCAGTGTGTGTGTGTGAGTGAGGGGGATGTGAATGTGTGTGTGCTGTGTCAGGGGTGCAGTGTGTGTGAGTGAGGGTGCTGTGCATGTCAGGGGTGCAGTGTGTGTGTGTGTGTGTGGGTGCAGTGTGTGTGTGCTGTGAATCTCAGGGGTGCGGTGTGTGTGTGTGAGTGAGGGTGCTGTGAGTGTCAGGGGTGCAGTGTGTGTGTGTGTGTGAGAGAGAGTGAGGGTGCTGTGAGTGTCAGGGGTGCAGTGTGTGTGTGTGTGCTATGAGTGTCAGGGGTGCAGTGTGTGTGCTGTGAGTGTCAGGGGTGCAGTGTGTGTCTGCTGTGAGTGTCAGGGGTGCAGTGTGTGTGTGAGTGTGCTGTGAGTGTCAGTGGTGCAGTGTGTGTGTGTGTGCTGTGAGTGTCAGCGGTGCAGTGTGTGTGTTTGTGTGTGTGTGCTGAGTGTCAGGGGTGCAGTGTGTGTGTGTGCTGTGAGTGTCAGCAGTGCAGTGTGTGTGTGTGTGTGGGTGTCAGGGGTTCAGTGTGTGTGTGTGTGTGAGGTGTCCCGGGGGTTCAGTGTGTGTGTGTGTGTGTGTGTGTGTGAGGTGTCAGGGGTGCAGTGTGTGTGTGTGTGTGTGTGTGTGGTGTCGGGGTTGCGGTGTGTGTGTGTGTGTGTGTGAGGTGTCAGGGGGTTACCCGG